ATTTTATTTACCATTCTAAGCCTTCTATATTAACTTCCCCACATATTTCACACTTCTTACTTCTATCTTAATTAATCATCTTAATTTGAATCATTATATTTATATCTTTTGTCCATTTTTTATCATCCCTTTGTCTCATTCCTTATAAAAAAAAAGAAAATAAGTTTCTCCTGAAATCATTAATCAGAGTATGATGCCTTTCTATCTCCCCCCTAAGTTAATCAAATTAATCTTTAAAATAATATCTAATACCCAATCCGATTTTGCTTGGTACATTCTATCTAACTAATACATCCAACATAATTAAGTACATAATTAGACAATAAATCCAAATATTAAAAAAAAATACTATAATAAAAATTTTATAATAACATCAATACCATAGTCTTATTAAACTCTTTAATTAAAACAATATTCTAAACCTCCCCTATTATTAAGTTTTAAAGCCAATCATTTTTAAACATTTTAACATTTTAATATCTTATCAACTCTTAAATCATTACAATACTACCATCTCATCTTATGTACCTTGCAAAATCTTTTTTTTTTTTTAAAAAAAATTATACTTTATCCATTATCCAAAAAAAGTTTCTTTTTTTCATTTAATTTCAAGACATTGTAGCTTTTCTCCACCTTTTCCCTTTCTTTCTTCTCCCAACAAACCTTTCTACCCCCCCTTCTTCTAGCCTCTGCCTTGCCAGCTTCCCTTCTCTGTCGTATTCCTTTTCCCTTTTGTTTACTATCATCATATTGGTTTTGCACCTTATTTTTCCCTTTCTTAAATGTTTTTTTAGATCTTAAGTCCTTAAGTCCTTTAATTTTCTTCTTTTCTCTTCTTTTCTTTTCTTTCTCTCTTCCTTCTTTCTGGATCAAGTTCTGAGATTCATTAAAGATGGCTCCTTTCTTTCTTTCTTTCTTGTTCCTCTGCTGTCTTCATCTGTTGTAATGTTTGTTGATAATTAATAAGCGCCATTTCTAAGAAAAGGAAAGCTTCTTCCACACCATCTTTACCATTTTTTTTTGCTTGTTCATATTCTTTTCTTAGTTCCTCAACAGAAAGAGCCATTATAAATCTTTTCTTTTCTTTTCCCCTTCTTTCTTCTTACAACAACCAGAATATTCAAAAGAAAATAAAAAAAAATAAAACAGTCCCAAAGTTATCAGTCAGTCCAAACCAAGGCAGAATTCTCACTTTCTCCTTCTGGGGCAATATCAATCCAAGAGAAAGAAAGTCCAAATCTGTTTAAAATCTTATTGCAATATATTCTAGTCTTCAAATCCTTAAGGCATCTGCTCCAACAAATCTTAGCATACAAATGTTTTCTTTTTAATCCTCTCTCTTCCCACTCATCGCTTAAAACCAATTTTCACCTAAAAGAAATAGGTTTCTTAATATCCAGTTATTTATTCCGTAGGAAAAGAGGGAAAGCTATCCTTTCAGCACCTTCACAGCCGCTTTTTTCCTCTTCTGGCAGGTATTATTCAGAAAGTCATACTTTTCAGGAATTTTATTAGATATGTCTTAGAGTCCTAGGAGCCAAGAAAAACTTTCTCCTCTCAATCACTTTCTCCACTTCCTCCTGCGCATTCTTACCCGGCTGCCAGCTTCTTTGTGGCGGCCATTACAGACCGCCGCTGCACCGTCCTGGGAAAAGGGAGTTCTGCCGGCCAGGGAGGGAGTCTGCAGCACCCCCAAACCCTTCTCCGGATCCCCCCTACCTTCAGCTGCCCCTGCAGGGCAGCCTAGCTCCGTACCCGGCTGGGTCGGAGCCCCAGAAACGGCTAGCGCGGCAGGGATCGCGCAGCTTCGCAAATCCCTGCCGCTCGCGAAGCCGACAAACCGGAAGTCCCCCATGAGCCTATAGTTTTTTGTCTGCATTAAATCTGAATCTTCTTTTGGAATCAAAGTAATATTTGCTTTCATCCATGAATTTGGTACCTTTGCATCAATCAATACTTCGTTATGGACTTCCAACATTGATAGGCCTAAAGTATCTTGTAAACATTTGTAAAATTCTGCCTGCAGCCCATCTGGCCCTGGTGTTTTATTATTCTTTTGTCTCTTGATCACTTCTGATAATTCCATCATTGATATTCGTTCATTTAGCATGGTTTTTACTTTTTCTGGTAGTTTAGGTAATTCCACTTTTTCCAAATATTGTTTAATTTTCTCTTCTGAAACTTTTCTTGCTCATACAGCTTTTCATAACAATCTTGAATTATTATTTTTTATCCTCATTTTGATAGTATGAAGTTCCCTACTCATCTCCTGGGTTATTTGCATTTTCAAAAAAAAAAAAAAGAGTTATGTTTAACATTTTCAGAGCACGGGACCTTTTGTTAGAGAAGGAGGAAGTGTGTGTGTATGTGAGTGCCCTTGAACAGCAGTTGGATCTCATTTCTTTGTTTGGCCTCTAGCTGCCCTCTTGCCTGTTGCTAGCTCTACAAAGCCATGATCATCAGGACAAGAAAAGCAGGGGGGGGGCATCAGAGTGTGGTACCTTCTGTATGTAAGAGGGAAAGCCAAGCGGGTTTTGATTGAAGGGAGGGAAGAAAATTTTGTTGTTGTTTTTTGTCCAGGGTCTCTCAAAAGCAAACCCCAGGATTTTAGGTAATTGTGAATTTAGGTAATTAGGAAGTTGTGAAGTAGTGAAGTAAGAGGAGCACCAGTACTTGCCTGCAAAGAGCAGCAAGTCCTCCCGGATTTGAGCTCTTCCAAATCCAAAAATCTAGCCCTGATGAAGGAGCGCCTAGAAAAATGAAATATCCTGAACCCAGAAGGATATTTCTTTCAACAACAGTTTGATATTGCTTTCATTTTATACTGTAGTTCTTATAAGTATCTTATAAGTATCTATCTCATGTATTCAAAACTATATTTATTCTTATACCTGTATCTTGTAAGCGATTGACAAATCAAATAAATACTAAAAATACTAAAACTATATAGTGAACTATAGTGACAGAAAGCAGTCACTTCAGATTTGGACAACTTGCTTATTAGCTTTGGTTAAGCCACAACTTTTTTAATACAATGCCACAGAAGTTGATGGAGGAGGTAAGATAAAAGTACATGTGCATTTGTATTAAAGCAGCAGAGAGCTTATGACTGGTGTGTTGTGTTGTTCTCTGAGCTCTTCCTATGTTTTATTACCATATTAGTGTTTGTATTAACCAAACAGGATGATTTAACATCTTCTATTATCACCACCTAAACATTAGGCATTATATTATTTTTCTGATATTGCATACTGATTGTGTGATTTGTAGAACTCAGAAAATAATTTCTAAAAGGCTATTTCCTGAGTAACTGAAAAATCCTCCTTTTCTGACTTCTTCAAAAGGAGAACTTCAGCTTCCGTCTATATTTTTCCAACTTTAATAGTTGCTTATATGTACACATTTTGATCTTTGGAGTTGTTACAGAGCAACAGGGAAAACTTTTCAACATGCTGGCACTGGTCTGAAAAACTATCTTCCTTTGCATTTATATTATGCTAATCATTTTATGTTGCAGGAAGAACCCATTGTTCTTTCTTGAGGGCAAATGTTGCTTCTACTGAGATATAAAAAAAGTCATCAAGTAGTTTGTTGCTTTCCTGGAGAAGTGAGACACATAGTAAGGTATATGAAAGGCTCCCGTTATTTTCATCTGTCTTCTCTGCAAACTACATCTGACTGGAAGCAGCTCCTTTGCTTCTGTAGTAATCATGGAAAAATAACTCTGGTGCATGTTCATATATACTCAGATGATGGGGGTGAGACCCTGGAAGTGGACTGCTGACCCTTAAATATAAATGGCAGCTCAGCTTTTTAAAGAACTCAGCACTTCAAGAGAAGTGTAGGTAGATTTCAGGGATTATTCAAAAGTACACAAGTTCATCCATCCCATTAAAAATGTGGCTTTTTTTTTTTGCTTATTTCTAATATTTTTAAACATTGACACAATATTTTATAAATATATTTGTACATTTTTATTATTATTTATTTGATAAAGTAAATGTTAATGGTTAAAAGTGGTATTTTTAATCCACTGTAATCACAACAAAAATAATAATTTTGTTTAGATTCATTTTCTCATTGTAGGAACTCACAGTATTATGAAGTTTGGGAACTCCTGCTTTAAGACTACAAGGATTCCATGCCAAATCTTTAAGGAAATAGAAGATTATTTCATGAAATTACACTGGGACTCAGAACAATTTTTTATTTATATAAACATTTAATATCTTACCATTCTAGTAATTGCTTATCACATAGCACATAGCATCATGGCCAATTATTGAAAATAGCTTCTATTGTATCCCACGGTAGCAACAAATTTACACATAAAGTTCAGAACTGATATTTGCATCATAAAGAGCATGGTATTGTACTAATGACATCTCAAAATAAGGAAATTGATCAGATGGATTATTGTTTGTAGAAGTCTGATACATTGACTTGCACCACTAGCTATTCCTGGAAAAAAAAAAAACTAAGAAAGGAGGACATTTGGCAGCTTCTTGTTGGGGTCAAAATGGAGTTGGCTTAGATTCCTGAATTCTCAACATATACACATCTACATTCCACCTCACATTCTGTATACACAGGGACTCAGAGAAGTATACGAACGGTTGCAGGAACTGGGCTTGGCTAGTCTAGTGAAGAGAAGGACCAGGGGAGACATGATAGCGGTCTTCCAATATTTGAGGGGCTGCCACAGGGAGGAAGGGGTCAAGCTATTTTCTAAAGCGCCTATAGGCCAGACAAGGAATAATGGGTGGAAACTGAACAAGGAGAGATTTAGCCTGGAAATAAGGAGAAGCTTTCTGACAGTGAGAACAATCAACCAATGGAACAGCTTGCCCTCGGAAGTTGTGGGAGCGCCATCACTTGAGACTTTCAAGAAGAGATTGGACTGCCATTTTTCAGAAATGGTGTAGGATCTCCTGCTTGGGCAGGGGGTTGGACTAGATGACCTACAAGGTCCCTTCCAACTCTGATTATCTGTAAGTTGATTATTTTTTAAGGATTTTTTTCCGTTCTACTGCCCTATCCAGTGCCTGCAGGATCAGATGTTGGTTATTTAGAACATTGTATTCACTCAGTTCTATCAGCTGATCATATTCTTCCTCAGTGAATGTCATTGAGTACGTTGAGTATGGAGTGCTGTTACTGGAGATGTCAACCTCACCATATTTCATTTCTGACTCAGAGCGTTTGACACCTAAAAAGGGGAGAAAGGGAGAGAATTGAAATATAAATTGCTCAAACCAAAACTTACTATAAAAACAATTTAGTTTCCCCTTAGAAGTTCATTTGATACCTATAGAAAAGAATGATTTGTACTGAAGTTTGCACTGTGGCATCCTTGGTATTCTCTGAGCTTGGTTGCTTTCTTGCAGACATTTCAGTTCAAAACTAAGTAAAATCATCAGTGTTAGTATAGAATGGGATAGCCACTAGTACTGATGTTACCTAGTTTGGTAATGAAACTTTTACAAAAAAAAAAAAAAAACCCAAGCAAGGAAGCTCAGAAAAAAGCAAGGGCCCAAAATTCATTTGAGTGTGCAAGTACTCTTGAAACGGAGAAGAGGCAGGTCTGTAATAAATGACAATACAGCCTGTGTTTTCTAATAACAAGGGTTTTTTAAGATGTATTTTATTTAAATCAAATTATCATCAATGTCTACTAGGGATGCAGATCAAAGTACTGCATCTACTTATAATAGCAATTTGAGGCTATTCTATTTTAACTTTTACTGATTATTGTGAATATACATGAGAATTATCTTTTTCAAGAGAGGGGGGGGGAGAGGTCTTCCAGTGTACAGTTACATTTGGATATTTCAGAATGCTTTGGGATTTTTGGTGTTTAGAAGACCTTTTGCATAATAAAAGAACATGATCTAAAATTGAGGCTCTATGCACCTTTCTCCACAACATTTCTCTTTGTACAGCAATAGCACTTGAACTTATATACAGCTTCGTAGTGCTTTACAGCCTGTTTAAGTGGTTTACAGAATCAGCATATTGCCCCCAACAATTTGGGGTCCTCATTTTCCCAACCTCGGAAGGATGGAAGGCTGAGTCAACCTTGAGCCTTGTGGGATTTGAACTGGCAAATTGCAGGTAGCTGGCCGTCAGCAGAAGTAGCCTGCAGTACTGTACTCTAACCACAGCGCCACCGAAGGTGCATATCCCTTTGCTTCCATTCATAATCTCAAGGTGCTTGAGTTAGAATGCTGGATTATGGGTCAAAGTCAAAATGGCTAATACATCTGGGGACACTACGTTGCAAAATATAATATTCTATACAGCAAATTATTTTTGTTTCATCACTCTTAATCATTGCTACATTAACAATGTACTGTGTATATTAATAACCTTGCTCTGCTACATCAATAATCAAAAATAATTATAACATTGAAATACCTGGGGCTTTATAGTAGCGAAAAGTATCATTCACTTGTGGGAAAAATAATAATATTGGTGCTGCTGGATTCTCAGCATCTTCAAATAAATAGCATTCCTTCAGATGTTTGTCATCATCCTTCAGGACAGCTTTGGGAAATGGGATTCCTTGATCTGCATAGTAGTTGCATGATTGCTCCAGGGGCTAGATTAAAACAAAAAGTAAATATAATACTTAGTGCATAGATGGGATGTTAAATCTGGCTTTAGAAAAGCAATAGCAATAGCATTTAAACTTACATACTGCTTCATAGTATTTTACAGTACTCTCTAAGTGGTTTACAGAGTCAGCATACTGCACCCAACAATCTGGGTCCACATTCTAATGACCTCAGAAAGATGGAAGACTGAGTCAGCCTTGAGCCTGGTGAGGATTAAACTCCTGAATTAGCCTGCAACACTGCATTCTAACCACTGTGTCACCACAGCTCAAGACTGAGGAACACGAGACGTGATTGCTGATGTATCCTGGATAATTGAGAAAGACAGAATACCTAAATAAATCAGTATACTTCATTGACTATAGAAATGCCTTTGATTGTATCAATCATGTCAAGCTGCAGAAAGTGCTCAGAAGAATAGGAATACCAGAGTATCTCATTGTTCTCATGGGGAACATCTAGAAGTCAGGAAGCCACGGTATTGATAAGACATGGTGAAAAGTTTGGCTCCAGGCTTGGTAGGGAGGTAGGAAAATACTGTAGAAATATGAAGATACTGTCCCCTCTTTCATTCAGCCTATATGGTGAATATATATTATGAGAAGATGGACTAGAAGAAGACAGGTGTGGTACAAAATTTGAGGAAAAAATGTCAATAATCTGTGCTATGGTGAGGATGCTGCCATTATCACTGAAAATCTGTAAGCTCCAGTAATAAATGCCAATAAGCACAGTGAAAAAAATGGAACTAAAATTAATTATAGAGAAGACCAATGTATGACAATACTGTGGGTAGAACAACATGCCTTGAAACTGATAATAATGATACCAAAGTGGTAGATAGTGCCTGCCTTTTAGGACCAACCATCAACAGTAAAGGAACAAGGAGGCAATAAATATGCTGTAGACTAGTATTGACAGAACAATCATGAACACTTGGAAAATATATTCAAATGTCATGCTGTGTCTACATCTACAAAGATTAGAATCATGCAAGCAATCCCTCTATGGAAGCAAATTTGGACTCTAGATGAGTATGGTGCTCATCTCTGTTTCTTGACTGAGGGAGCCAGCATTGTCTGAAGACAATTTCCATGGTCATGTGGCCAGCATAACTATTCACCAAAGGCTCACTGAATGCTGTTACCTTCCCACTGAAGTGGTACCTATTAAGCTACCTGCATTTGCATGCTTTTGAATTGCTAGGTGGGCATCGCTAATTAGGGTAGAGGCTAATTAACAGCTAGAAGGTCAAGACATAACTTCACCAAAATAATTATCAACCAATATCACTACTGAATAATCATTATAAATTGCTCACAATGATTTTAGCTGAGCGAATGAAGATGGCTTTATAGAATCTTGTTCATTAAGATCAGTGTGGAAGGGAGATCTACCTAAAATACAGCTGAAGAACAAATTCAGAAATGTATTGGATGTGTTGAATAAGCATCGAACATTATTTTTTCTTGATGCAAAAAAGCTCTTTCTCTGTTTGAACTGCACTTTTTTGTTTAAAATTTTGGAATATATGGACATCAACAGGAATTTTAATAAATGGCTAAAGTTGATTTTTACCTCACAAAAGATACTGATAGCTGTTAATGGAAAATGAGCAAACTCCTGTGAGATATAGAAAAGGACTAAACAGAGATGTCCCTTGTCACCATTGCTTTTTATTTTAACTTTGGAAATATTGAACAGAAATATGAGATGAGATGAGAGAATTACTGGAATGCAGATATGGAGAAATATATGTTACGTTTGCTGACAACCTGGTGATAATTTTGGAAGATCTACTGGAATGAATCAAAATATTAAAGGAAAAACAAAGAACTTTGGGGCTGGGGGGGAGTTAGCTGTTTTTACAATTAATAAACAAAAAGATGAAGATGATAACAAAGAATGCGAAAATGGAAAAACACAGAATTGATGGAAAATGGATTTCAAATTGAGAAAAAAGTGAAATACTTGTGTATCACTATGACTAATGGGTGGCGTGGTGGCTCAGCAGTGAAGACACTGGGCTTGTTGGCTGGAAAGCCGGC